ATACTCGTTGTTCTGGAACGGGCATACCGATTATGAACATACCAAAAACAGTTGACTGAATGATTGTTGAGAACAAGTTTTTGCAATGATCTCATAATGCATCGTTTAATAGATTCGCAGAAGTTCTCTTATGGATTAGTTGCATATAATCTCCATAGAATTTACAATTTTTTTCGCTGGATAGACCAAAACATTTCTAAACTGAATGAAACTTGAAAAATTCGAAGTAGAAAACAACGGCTGCGCGAGTAATTACACGTGAACTCACCCGAATTCACGTCTCCTGGAAAGTGTTCGTCTCAAATCTTCCTCACTTCGACGCTCACTATCGAAGACGATCTTATCCGAAAAGAACTTCGATGTTCTTCGATAAAGTGTATCTTAAAGAAACACCATCAAAAATTTTCGGTGATACCAAACACATGGCGACTGTAGTATGAAGAAGAATCCGTAATAGGATAATTTACCAAAAATTACAATCTCTATTCAAATTTTTGATCAGATTTCTTCATCTTTTATATTTCATTCTTTGCACTGTACCCAAAGCCAGTGACCAGAACAATAAAAACGCATTCGGAATTATCACACGGAACCAATGCAATCACATTATCGCCAATGCTCACAGCATTTCTCATATTCCGCTAAAATTATGCATCCTATTGCATTGAACCGTTAAAAAACGATCTGAATACACGAAATTTTCATTCCAGACGATAAATTATTCCGTACTCGTTTTCACCAAATCGACATGGTATCCACTATCAACATCCGTAAAATCGTTAGTGTCTCGTCGAAGTCGCGCACTTCTTGCCGAACTGAATGATCCATTCTGTGATGAAACCACCAGACCATTACTGATTCTCGCCAAGCACACAAAACTTTTATTGTCCCTAAAATACCGAATAAATTTGATTCTGGAATATGAGTCAAAATATGAGTTTAATTACGCAAATTTGGACAGAAGATTATTTGAAGCAGAAAATGTCTTGCAGTACATAACGTTGATTTACAGATATTGACTAGCATCAAATCAAAGATGTACGGAAATCATGCATCTGTATTCGTGAATCTTAGTACATAAGATTCTTGCAGTCTGAGACAAAAAAGCCCTCCACCTACCAGTAGTTTTAAGCAAAGTTTATCAAACCATTGCTTCGAATAGCAATTGATCAGAATGGCATTTCATACCGCAACAAGTAATCTCTACGTATTCATGTGCGAATTAGTTGCTTTCAATCTGTTCATGAGGGAATCCCATAACTAAAAATTTCCAGTAACTTAAAAAATCACAAAAATCACTACTTTTTCAGCTACCTTCCATGTAACGATGATGATCCATTATTGAACATCACTTCATCTGTAGATCCGTCGTTGTTCCTAAGCGCCGTTATATCACGAACATTCAACTCGAGCAGCTTCTCGCTCAAATCAAAGCCATCG